CTATCTATCTATCTATCTATCTATCTATCTATCTATCTATCTATCTATCTATCTATCTATCTATCTATCCCTAACCCTCGTCCTAACCCCGGTCCTGTTCGCTAACCCTCCACCAGAACACTGAGATCCTTCATCAGTTGCTCGGCCCTAAAACTGACCTGAGACCAGAGGTGTCCTGTGGCTGCCAGACTCTGGATAACCTGCACTGGAACATCCCGTCTGCAGGATCACTTAGCTTTTTAATTCCTCCCCAAAAAGACACCTTCTCATCAAGCTTATACTTGGAACAACATTCTAATGCTAAAAATGCTTTTTTATCTGTATTGTATTATTGTATTTCACTACTAAAGTCCAGACTGACAAACGGTTGGATCGTGACAACAACATTTCCTAACTTCTCTCAGTTATTGATCAGTGTGAGACTCAAAAAGATTTGGACTCTAATCTAGTACAGTGTAGTTCCACCATGAGGGTAACTCAGTTCAGTTATCACACATCAAACAGTCAACAATGCATGAAACCTGCAACACAACCTGATCTGATTTAACATCACTTGTCACTTTTATTTCAGTAGTTTTTCAGGAGATTTATTTTTTGGGGTATTTTGTTCTGTTAAGTTTATATTTCACTAGGTTAAGATTAGTTTTAGAGTATAGATTATATATTTTGATACATTTTTAATTGTGTATTAATTGTGTAATGAAGCGTTTTCTCTCTTTTGTCCTCTGTGTGCCACTTCTTTCCTGTTAAGCTGCTGGAACTTGAATTTCCCTAAAGGAGTCAATAAACAAAGGCAGGTCTGAGTCAAGTGTAAGTCTCAGTGTCGACACGTTTCTGCTGGCAGACGAATGAATGATATCAGAAAAGTCCTCTGAGTTCTTTCACACGACACTGGGATGTTCTGTTATCATATCCCTGTTATTTACACAGAATCAAAGTCCACTGAGCTGACTGACTCACAGGTTAAAGGTCAAAGGTCACCGCTACAGAAGAACCGATTCTGCTGAGACTGCAGCACGACAGGAGGAAGATTTCTGAGGAAGGAGTGTGACTCAGAGGAAGAGAGATTTCTCAACAAGCAACAGCGAAGTTAAAGGATTTACTCTGAAGAATCAACAAACTCTCTCTTTCAGATAAGAAAACCTGAAGCTTGATCTGAACTCCTGGAAATATCCAGACGGCTGTTAGAGGTAAACCAGCTGCTCTCCTTCACACCTTTGTTTATTCTTGGCTTTGTTAATTTTCATTTACTGTTCGATCATCAGTATGACAGCAAAAAGGTTCAATTTGTTATTACTTCTGAAGTTCTGAATGATTGAATGCCTCTGCGTGGCCCCGACACTGAGATGCACCACTGTGTACTTTTCCTTTGTAAATATCTTCAGCCGCTACATGACTCAGGGACAGTGTGTTCACACTCCTCATCCGTGAAAACAACACAAGTCAGCTCGTTTTTCTATTTTCACCGTCTCTGAGAGCATTGTGGGGGATGGGGCGGGTCCACGTGTTCAGACGTGTGCATTCGGTCATTGGTATGAAGTAGAAACCACACACTGTTTTTTCTGGAAATCAGCTTCTGCCAGCTGGCAAAGCTTTTAATACGACTGCAATTCAACAAGAATCACAAATTACACACAAAAAACGTTGTTTCTGATCTTTCCCATTCAAATCGATATGGTGTCCCACATTATAAAAAACATTTACCCAATTTTTTGAATGCAATTGATTTGAATGCTCCCTCCAGACTTTGTGGCCTCTTTGCTGCCACCAGTGAAACCTTTCAGACAGAAACACTAAACCCTCCCTCTGTCGCTCTCACTGGCTCTAAAACCAATTCAAACAGCTCCTCCTCCAGACCCTGAAAGACCCCAACTGATCCCCCAGTCCACTTCTTCCTTCACCCATCAGCGCATCAGTTCTTTGATCTGATTACTTCCTACGAGGAAAATGTCTCCCACTTCACCGAAAGACAAGTGAGTAAAAAAAATCACTAAAATCTGATGATAGACGCTCATCATTCATATATCGATAAATTAATAATTAACTCCCTGATTAAAGTTGGAAGATTTTTGGCATAATCTGAGTTTAGTGTTGACTTTCAGAGTGATTGATTGTTTAATTAATTGATTGATCGGCTAGTATTCCAACACAGAAGCTCGGATAGAATAAATTTGCCGTTCTTAAGCTGCAGGATGTTTTTACCCACCAAATAGGTGTTAACTGACATTTTCATGGAGCTGCTGCATGAAGATAAGACGCTGCCTGCAGCTCAAAGATAACCCGATCCCCAGTGAGGGCCTCAGCCTAACCCTGACCTAACCCTAACCCGATCCCCAGTGAGGGCCTCAGCCTCAGCCTAACCCTGACCTAACCCTAACCCGATCCCCAGTGAGGGCCTCAGTGTGCAGACACTGAAAGGCCAGCAGCCCGGCTCATCCTAACCCGAACCTAGCCCTAACCCTAACCTAACCCGGGCTTCCTGAATGTCCTCCTGCAGGTACTTTGGCGTGTGGCTGATCTTCTTCATGCTGGGACTGGGGACTCTGCTGCCCTGGAACTTCTTCATGACAGCCACAGCGGTGTGACGTAGTTCCTGAATGTTTCTGTCCACACACCATGTGATTCACGTCCAGCCACCTCTTTTATCACCAGATCCATTCAGACAGCAGCAGCTGAACACGTTCTGGTTTCACATTCACCTGTACAAACCAGTCCGGTCTAGGTTCGGGTTCAGAGCCTGCCCACCTTCCTTTGCCTGACAGGAACATTTGCACCTGTACAGTCTGGGCACAATTATTAGGCCAGTTGTATTTTAAAGCCTGAATATTTAAGAAAGCAAACGTGAGGTTTTTGCTTTCTTTGGACAGACTCTAAATGTGAAGAATGTATACGCAACTAAATGAAAAACTAATATTTTGACATTTATTTGACACTTGTTTATTTTCATCTGTCCAAGTGAGAATAATAAACATAGAACACACAATTTAGAAATAAACATTTCCGATGTGTAAAGAAAGAGTTCAGTGACCAATACGGCCTCCTTTCTTTTCAGTAGCAGACACCATCCCTGGGCCTGACTAAAGCATCAAAATGATCACATTGCCTCTTGTTGTGCACTCAGTGTTTTGTTTTTGGTTGTTTTTCTGCTGCAGGCTTTTATTCTGTCTTGTTATTTTGCAGTACTTCACCAGCCGTCTGAAAGACTCTCCATCGGTCAACCAGACCGAGGCAGCAGGTGACCAGCGCAGCGTCCTGGAGGCCAAATTTAACAACGTGATGACACTGTGTGCAATGCTGCCACTGCTGCTGTGCACCTGCCTCACCTCCTTCCTGCATTCACTGTGAGCCCCTTCACAGGAAAACACTGGGGAGTCCTCCCATCCCACCCCCCCCACCTCAGGCCTCTGGGCACAGAAATAAGAGGCCAGCAGGCCAGCAGAATGACCTCACACAGCTGAAATCAGCCTCTCAAGCTGGTTCCACAAGCTTTAATGATAACATAGTAACCTGTTGTGTCCTGAAGTTTAAGAGTTTTTTCAGTCTTGAGTCAAATTTGCAGCATTGTTTAAGCCTGAGTTTCATGTCAGAGACATTTTTGAGCTTGAAGGCGGATGAACACAGTGGGGGTTAAGCAGTCAGATCATTGAGGTTTTGAGGGTCCTGGAGGGCTCAGGACGCCCAGCCGGACCTGAACAGAGGAAGGGATGGAGGTCTGGATGATGGATGGATGTCAAAGTTATCGATAAGTTTGTGCCAAATTGTTTTGAGAAAGCCAGTTTAAAGAAGAAGAATGACAAAGAATATTTGATGCATTGGGGTGGTGATCTGCAGAGAGATTCCAGTAGGTTCTTCTAACAGGAGGAAGAATGTCCTGCTGGTGGCTCTCATCTGAATGAATGAATGGATGGGTTACGGTTATGAATGAATGGAGCATTTCTCCACAGAGGAGTTGTGCTACTAGTCCCATAAACGTCCCACTACTGCCACCTGTTGGCCCATGTGTGCTGCACTGCTGCATTAGGGTTAGGGTTAGGGTTAATTGATCCATAAGGTTGCTCCCAAGGGTTACGGTTAGGGCTTAAGTCCCCCAAAAATTGCAGAAATAAAATAACTAGCTGGCCACATTTTGTGTGGGGCATACATTACAGGAAAGAGCTACTCCACTGCAGATTGGGGTTAGAACGTTTTCCCCCGTGTGCATGTTGGTTCTTTGGGTTAAAGTTAGAACCAAAAACATGCAGATTAGGCTGATTCTTGATAAGGGGGAATGTGAGTTTGACTATTCATTTCTGTGTGGCCTAACCCCTAACCCTAACCCTTACCTCTAACCCTAACCCTTACCTCTAACCCTAACCCTTACCCCTACCCCTAACTC